AGAGAGAGAGAGAGAGAGAGAGAGAGAGAGAGAGAGAGAATCATTACAGTCGTAGATACAGGGAAGGGAACGGGAAGGGAACGGGAAGAATGTTGGGAGGGATGAAGAAAATGACGCAGAAAAGAAAGATTGCATACCTCTACCCCAAAGAATGGAAGAGTTGCACTGCCGGGCTTCTGAGGCCAGGCACCTGGCAGTGGGGCGATCTTTGTTTGATGGGAAGTCGTCGATTCCAGAATTAACAGAAGTTTTGAAGGAGTGCATCCATCAATGCGACACGAAAACACACGGCACACAAAGCACATGTCAGAATTTCTTTTCATGGCTTCCAATCAGCACGCCTACAATCTTCACCCACTCTCCCCCCCCCTCCTGCCCCTACAATCTTCCCAATCACTCGTGCACTCACTGGCTGTTCCTTGATATCTACTGACTGCCACTGATTTGAACACCACCTGTTACTCTGTTGTTTCAAGTGGGCAGCAGGTTGTTGCACATTGAAGGCGCAATCGGGTTGTTGAATCTTTGGCAAGTTTTGCTGCTTCTCTTTTCTTTTTTTCCCAAACTCAAATGCAGCAAACGGCAGAGAAGGGATCCCAAATCATTAACACAATCTACTTTTGGGTTAACATATCGCCCAATACCTCAGGGGTGTTAACCAAGAGTAGTAAGCAAGGGTTACTTGAACTTACTTCCCAAGAAAGAAAAATGAAAAAGGGGATAAGAGAAGCAAGAGGAGAAGCAGCATAAGGAGGCTTGGAAGGAGGAAGGAGAAGGGAGGAGGAAGAACCAGAGTAGTAGTGGTAGTAGAAGTAGTGATAGTAGAAGTAATAGTAGTGGTAGTAGTGTAGTAGTGGTCGCAAGTAGTAGTGTTTGGAGGAGGACAAAGAGGAGGAGTTGGTGTAGTAGGAGTAGCAGGAGTAGCAGTACCAGTAGCAGTAGTAGTAGTAGTTTTAGCAGTAGTTGTAGTTGTAGTAGTAGTAGTAGCAGCAGGAGGAGTAGGGAGCAGGGAGTAGGGAGTAGGGAGTAGGGAGTAGGGAGTAGGGAGTAGAGAGTAGGGGAGTAGGGAGTTGGGAGTAGCGAGTAGGGAGTAGGGAGTATTTAAGGAGAAGGACAGTAATGATAGAAAGGCCTCCTGAAACGGTCACCCTTGTCCTTTTTCTCTTCTTTCAAAGGAATGGAATTGGGATGTAGGAGACCAAAAAGCCGTCGATGAATTCGATAAAGTAGCCACACAATTTGGCCTTCACGATCTCTGGACTCTGGAAGGTCTTCCATTGCGTGGAATGTGTGTGTTCAACAGGGAAACATTACTGCCTATGTCAAAGTCGATAATAGACAAACCGGTGTTCCATGTATAGAGGAATTTTCATTTCACACAGTTTGAAATTGAATCCCATTTCGGGACGAGAGCAAACAGTGGAACCGGTGAACCATTCAGGTCATATGGGACAGAGGGCTCGTAGTACTTAGCAAAAGAAGCACACACTCACCAGTATTGCTCCTGTCTCTGTTTGCCACCACGTGTCGACGATTGGGCATCTTCCGTCTCCCACTACGTCATGATACCATCTGCAATACGAGAATTGCGTGGACTCAGAAAATGGGAAGGAAAAATGGTTCAATAATCACTGAAAAAAGTTAAGTGTCAAAAATTTCTGGAGTTCTCAAGGAAAAGAGGATTCGCGGAGTGCCTGAAAAAAAAAAGAGAAAAAAAAAGGAAAAGAAACTGCAAAGAAATTATACCAGCAGTACTTCCGAGACACTCTTCTCCGGGGACCACCCTCCGCGCCAAAACAAAAAGGAACCAGCGTGGGCCTCCTTTGGGCTGGCATGCCACCCATTTTGCTCCGGAGGTCGAGCCCCGAAAGTTGCAGCTGCATGCACACTGCGACTTCGAAAAAATGGCTGGGTTACGTACTGGTGGGTTGAATAAGCGCCTTCTGTACTGTTTGTTGAGTGCCTGCAGAGATAACTGCAAACTGTTTGGTTTAAAAAAAAAAAAAAAAAAAAAAAAAAAAAAAAAAAAAAAAAAAAAAAAAAA